AAGCTGCATCATATGCATTTCAACGTTTGTTTTCCATAATGAGGCTGTCACACAAACTGTCTTGCGCTCGCAATGTCCGTCTTACTCGGAGTCTGCTTCCGGAGGACCCCCGCACTCCCGCGCACGCGCGGCTACTTGTGTGGGGAAGCAAATGTGACGTCAACATGGTGGATGGTAAAATCCATAGATTTAGGTATTACCCTAGTGGCCGTTAGCTGTAAAAGTCCATAGATAAGCCGCATTGTTTTATAAGCCGCAAGGTCGAAAAATGGTCAAAAAATGGGGAAAAAGTCGCGGCTTATAGTCTGAAAATTACGGTAATCAAATATCTAAAGTTTCCCTATAGAAAATTCTTTTCAGAATTAAACCAGGTCAAACTAAAACTTTTCAATTTGAGGGTTTCTCTCATCTTCTGGCTACGTTCACGTTGCAGGCCTTAATGCTCAATTCCGATTTTTTTTTTTTTTGTGTTGCCGTTCAGATTTCCAAATATATGCAACTTGTATGTGATTTCCTGTGTGAACTATATTCATAGAGCTTAAGTGTCCTGCATGCACAGTAGAGGGCGCAATGACGTCACAAGCTAGCTTGCTCTGTGTTTAAGAAAGTAAACCTGGATGGTAGCGCTGGAGTGCATCTAGCGATCTATCCCAACCTTAAAAACTCAATCTTTTCAAGATGATAAAAAAAATAAATAAATTACTACTCTGCGCATCATCTTCTGCCATGGTTGTTTTCAGGGGCGTGCACACATAGACACTAAAGCACTAGGAAGTTTGCCCTCTATCAAAGAAAATGCCCTTTTGAAACTCGTTTTTTTTTTATTATTATTAATATTATTAAGATTTTACTGAGGTCGGTTTTGAAATGATCTTTTGAAAACCTGAGCCATTAAAAACGACTGAAACAATGCCCCGAAATGACCGACCTACTTGCGCACACCCGACCAGCCTCTCTCTCTTCCTTTGTCACGTGAACTCGCTCGGTCGCCCGCAGGGCATGCCAGATGCGCAGCATCATAGCAGTTTTCAGATAGCAGGAACGGTCGCTGACAGGCTGCTTCTCCCGTGCCCCATTAGCCAGGTAATATACAGATCAAGCAGAATCATTTTGTTGTGCATTAAAATGTCTCATTCAGCAGCACCAAACAAGCATTTTGCCGACTGGTCACCAGATAAACTAGTTGTCTCCTTGTAAGATGCTATTTTACTTTTTATATTTTGTATCCATATTTTTTATCTTAAGTGTATACATTAGTCTATTTTATTGCATGACGTATACCCACAGTTTTTAGATATTTTTATAATTTTATTTACCTATTCCATATTATATGTTTCATGTTGCACGATTGTACCATAGAAAATTCCTAGTTTGTGAACTCCTTCACTAACAATGGCAATAAACCTGATTCTGATTCTGAAAGTTTTACACTGTAGCCCAAGTCAATGACAGATAACGTGAGGACGACCACATAGGCTACAAATAATTTTGGTAGAGTTTGCAATTGCAAATCTACGGAAGAGGATTAGGGCCACTGAAAAAAAAAAAATAAATAAGTTAACTGATTTTTAAATTTTATTTCAGTTTAGTATGGGAAAAAAGTCAGAATGCTGACTTTAATCTCATAATTCTAACTTTTTTCTCATAATTCTGACTTTCTGCTGAGAATTCTGACTTTTTGCTCAGTATTCTGGCTTTAATCTCAGAATTCTGACAATAAAAAAGTCAGAATTCTGACTTTTTTCCCATGTTAAACTGAAATAAAATTTAAAAATCAGTTAACTTTTTTTTTCAGTGGCCCTAATCCTCTTCTGTACAAATCTATGTGTTAAGACAAACGTTTTCTGTTGTATAGGTTTTGTTAGGCAACATAAATTAACACATTTTGGTCTCTTTATTGTCTTAATTGTATATTGATTTAGTAATTGCAGCACAATACCAAGAAAGGAGGGTTAATCGTATTGAAAAATCTTAAAAGCTGTTCACATTTTATTTTTAAGTGGTTTGTGCAGCAGGTATTAAAATAGCTATTATTTTGTAGGCTACCATAAGTCATATCCACGTGACAAGACTTCCAGTCATGTTGCCCTAATAGCCCATTATTTAAACTAATGTGGCATATTTGTTAAAGCTATTATTATTATTATTATTATCATTATTATCATTATTATTGTCATGATGGTTATTATTAATATATTGTAGCCAGTCACAGCAGGGAAGCTCTAAACCATCAACATCTACCAGGACAGGAGATGAGGAAGAGTTCAGGGAAGACACAGAGACAGAAAAAGACCAGGATGAGGGAGAACAGATGGATGAGGGAGAGCAGATGGGTGAGGGAGAACAGGGAGATGAGCCAGATGAAAGAAGTATGCTTTAGTCTGTTCTGTTGGTGATGTGACTTTTTTCCATTGAAAACTCACGTTTAGAGAATGTTACAAATAAGAGTCAAATTTCATTCAACATGCGTTTATTTTTTTTTTATAATTAAGTGTTACACGTGCGCTAAAAAGTGCCCTCCCCCCCCTCCTGAGCACCTGCCCCCCAAAATGTCTTTGCACGCCTCTGGTTGTTTTTCTTTCCAGTTCTAAATAGCAAGATGCAGAATAGTTACCTTTGTTTAGTATTACTGGCGTTAAGGTCGGATGAATGCGACCTGGCCGTTCAGACACGGGTGGCATTTGAAAAGATCAGATTTGTATCACATTCAGGACCACATAGCAAAGTAGCCTGAGTCGCAAACAATCGGATCTGTTGTTCAGACTGCCATGAAAAGATCAGATACAGGTTGCATATGGGCAAAGAAAATCAGATTTAGGTCACTTCAGACTGCTGTGTGAACGTAGCCTAAGTCTCCTTGAACCCCAGTGGGCCTCAGCAGATGGCCGCTCACACTGAGCCTGGTTCTGCTGGAGGTTTCTTCCTTTTCAAAGGGAGTTTTTCCTCTCCACTGTCGCTACAAGCATGCTTATTGTGAGGGATTGCTGAAGAGTCAATGAGTCGATGCAATCAGCTGGTTTTCCTTAGATAGAAAACTTTGAATCAATCTGACTGTATGATCTGGTGAACTGGAAAGTGACTTCAGATGACATGATGTGAATTGGAGCTATAGAAATAAACTGAATTGGATTGAATTGAATATAGGACCATTAACGAATAACCTAGTGGTTAGGGCATAGAGCTTAGAATCCTGAGGTTCTGAGTTCCAGTCCCACTCCCACAGCCTGCCACTCTGGCTCTCTGAGCAAAGACCCGTAACCCCACACTGCTCCTCGGGCGCTGCAAAATGGCAGCCTGCTGCTCCCCAAGGGGATGGGTTAAATGAAGAGGGAAATTTCTCCTATGTGAGATCAATAAAAGTTCAATTATTATTATTATGAAAGCTGGTGGTTCAGATTTTGAAAGAAGACCAGAATGGGGAACGTGTTTCACTGGGTTTCACTAAAAATGAGAGATTACTATCATCCCAAGAGAAACATGATGATGTGGCCGACATCCCGCTAACATCTCGCTGGCAGATTGCAAAGGGTCGCTCCAACTAGTCGATCAACAATGGCCGCCAGTGGGCGTCCTTCGTTAATCCCGCAGCATTTACAGTTACCCAGCAGCAGCAGCCCCACCAACCAATAAACGCCCCGCCTGCCGGGCTGATGGCCGCCACCCTGCTGCCCTGCATCCATTCATCTTCTCACCAGGGAGGGTGAGGCTTCCAGACAGATGGAGCTAAGACGGCGCAATCAAGAGGGAAGGGGTAGGGGGATACAGGGGGATACAGGGGGAAGGAAGGAATGGGAGCAGGAATGTGCAGATCTTGGGAGACATGGAAGCTTGCAGGGGAAAAAAGCAACAAGCCTCAATGTAGAAAATGAAAAAGAGAAAGCAAGATAAACATGGAGGGGCAAAATAAAACTGCAACTGATTAAGGAGGCCCCTGCAGGATCATGGCAGAGGAACCGATTCAGAAGCTGCAGAACACATGTTCTGGATGATGTTGTGCCAAAGAAGGAGCTCAAAGTTCAGTTCACACAAAATGAACTCACATTTATAGCTCACTTTTTCAAAAAATGAAGTTCATAAAGCGATAAGTGAACCAGTTCAGGTTAATTTGGTAAATGAAGCCACGATCTTCCACAATAGAACCTCATATTTCCCCCTTAGATTATTTGATCATAATATATAGAGAGAAAAGGAAAATCCTGGAAGCAACGTAATTTCATTTTGTATAAACTTCTTGTATAGAAAACAACAAGTTTGTCTAAGTCTCAAAGTCTATAAAACTCTTCAAATGCCCATGTTCCTTCCTCCCAGCTATCCTATCTCTTTGCGCTGATTTGACAGACAGCAAAAATAAATAAATAAATGCACATCTCTGGTGTTGCTGCTATTTTTCAGATATCCATTTCTGTAAAAATGTCCACAGTTGTTGATTTTTTATTCTCCAGATACAGAGTATTATATTGTAAAACACTGTACAGGACAATACTCTCTTTTATTTTCCTGTCGGTTATTTTTATCCATTTTTCTTAGATGCATATTTGTGTGACCACTTCTACTACAACTTTGCAGCGGTAAACACCACAATTCCCCCAGTGGGGGACAATAAAGGGACTTTCTCAATTCTTTTCTATTCTATAAATAAATAAAATTGGAAGGATTTAAAATCTCCTGCAGTCGAATGACACAAGGTATGCAAATGGAGCGACAACATTATCCAGCGCCTTTTAGGACAGCCAATAGCGACGTTGCCTGCTGAGGAATTGGCAACACTCCTTATCTTCTCCTCTACGTTGTCCTAGAACGTTCCTCCAGGTTGGAGCAGCCATCTTTAAACAGACCTTCGGCTGAGCTAGAGATAACCCGGTTCTTTTTAAAGGTTCTGTAGAACTGATATGGTGAGTTCAATGGTGGTAGCTTGGGTAGAGTGTGAGACGACAGGGCTTTACGCCAGCGAGCAGGTGGAACGGATCAACAGGAGACGTCAACCGTGAGCAGGAACTGACCTGATGGAGTAGGGGCAGATGAAGGGGGAGTCCTCCTGCCTTTGGTCCACTTGCATCTGCAGCAGTCTTCCCATGACCTTTATAAGCCCCTGGACATTTCTGCCCACAGTGAAGTATGAAAAAAAAAAAAAGGTTATATGATACATGCATGAGAAGAAATAATTAAAAGTACAATACATTGACATAGAGGAAACACAGATGATCAAGCAGGAAAAAAATATATTAAACTAAGATTATGCAACAATTGGAAAAAGTGAACCCAAGTTTGGATCAAAAACCTTAATAGTCTTCAGATAGCTCAGCCAAAGGCCACTTTAAACGAATACATTTAAATTTCTCGTTCAAAGCAGCAGAGAGTTTTGTAGGGCTTATATGGTTTTCTAAGAGTTTATTCTAAAGTAATGGAGCATAATGTTATGTTCTTGGAATTCTGACTTTTTCTCGGAATTCTGATTTTAATCTTGGAATTCTGACTTTAATCTCAGAATTCTGATTTTATTCTCAGAATTCTGATTTTAATCTTGGAATTCTGACTTTTTCTCGGAATTCTGATTTTAATCTCATAATTCTGACTTTATTCTCAGAATTCTGATTTTAATCTCAGAATTCTGATTTTAATCTTGGAATTCTGACTTTATTCTCAGAATTCTGATTTTAATCTTGGAATTCTGACTTTTTTCTCAGAATTCTGATTTTAATCTTGGAATTCTGACTTTAATCTCAGAATTCTGATTTTAATCTTGGAATTCTGACTTTAATCTCAGAATTCTGATTTTAATCTTGGAATTCTGACTTTTTCTCGGAATTCTGATTTTAATCTCATAATTCTGACTTTATTCTCAGAATTCTGATTTTAATCTCAGAATTCTGATTTTAATCTTGGAATTCTGACTTTATTCTCAGAATTCTGATTTTAATCTTGGAATTCTGACTTTAATCTCAGAATTCTGATTTTAATCTTGGAATTCTGACTTTAATCTCAGAATTCTGACTTTAATCTCAGAATTCTGATTTTAATCTTGGAATTCTGACTTTTTTCTCAGAATTCTGACTTTAATCTCAGAATTCTGATTTTAATCTTGGAATTCGGACTTTTTTCTCAGAATTCTGACTTTAATCTCAGAATTCTGATTTTAATCTTGGAATTCTGACTTTTTCTCGGAATTCTGATTTTAATCTCAGAATTCTGATTTTAATCTTGGAATTCTGACTTTATTCTCAGAATTCTGATTTTAATCTTGGAATTCTGACTTTTTTCTCAGAATTCTGATTTTAATCTTGGAATTCTGACTTTTTCTCGGAATTCTGATTTTAATCTCATAATTCTGACTTTAATCTCGGAATTCTGACTTTAATCTTGGAATTCTGACTTTTTCTCAGAATTCTGTTTTTAATCTCAGAATCCTGACTTTTTTGTGGATGCAATTAAAATGTTCATCATAATATTCATTGATGTAATGTTACATTGCCAACAGAGATCTTCTTTTGAATGGAAATCATCCAGTGTTGTAAAAAAATCAAACAATGAATCTTTGGAAAAGAATAAGAGAGTTGATGTTATTTACCTGGCAGAGGGCAGGAGATTGAGGACGCTGTTGAGAATAAACTGCAGCTCAGCGTGGCCCTGAGCTACTAAAAGCACCACAGCATCACAGCAGGCTGAACGCACCGGAGCAGAGTCGCCGCAGCACTGCTGCCACAGAGCCTCCAACGCTGGGCCCTGGAATAAAAACATCAAGCAGTCATGGCCGCTCAGACACAGGAGCCATATGAAGAAACAAGCCTTTCTAATTTAGCCTTCATGAACATCAGATCATTGGATAATTGGTCATGCTGTCAGTTTCACGCTATCAGTTTCCAGCATGCCGAGGTGAGTCAAGTGTCTGTTTTGAATGTGGCCGACTGGCTGAGTTTGTGATCAGAACATGCTTCCTAACGATCTAACATGATGCAGGAGCATCATATGTTCAGACCCACAAAAAGGCTTTTGGATGTCATAATGTTTGCATTTATTCGTACTACAAGAATCTTCAAAATATATGTCTGTATTAAAAGAAAACTGGATCAGTTGGATTCAGGCTTTTAGCTAGCAATGCTTACAGGCGTACATTATATGCCCTTAATTAAAAATATTTGAAAATGAATGCCTTGAATGTCTCTTATCAGGCATTCAAGAGTTTACCAAAACTCTTGAATGCCTGATAAAAGTATAGGATTGTTTAGGTGGTTATTTTTCTACTTTGGGACAATAAAGTCAGTGGAATGGATGGAAAACAACAGCTAAGATAAATGACAACTTAATTGGTACCAAATCAATAGCAAATGTCAAACAGATGCCGCCATTTTTTATGGTTCTTGGAGATAATTGGAGTCTTTATTTGCCAAAGATTGATAAAGGGGATGTTATTTGTAGATAACGATGTGCTTATTTGCCCTTTGGACATTTAAAGCTGGAATAAATGCCATTCAGAGCGACACACCTGCTTGTTTAACACATCAGCTTACAAAATGTACTAAGATACGTGAAAATGCAACGATTAAGTTTCATATTAGCTTCAGTGTGGGCAGTATTTTTACTAGAGTAGATAGAAATAAAAGCAGTGCTGGCTGCACTTTCTCCTCTGCTGGATGGCAGATGGTGCTGTAGTATTTGTAGTTTTTGTATTTGTCACTGTTCAATTTGTTGTATATGAAACAATCAAGTTTCATCCTTAGCAGAAAGTTTCGGTTACACTTTCTAAATGTTTGAATTAACCAAAGAAACATAATATTGTAACTAAAAATTATCTCATGTCTTCCTTATGAAATTTCCACCTCTAGTCAAGCACATTAGAATTAGGGCAAGTGAAAAAACGTTTAAAAAAAAGTTAAATAATTTTTTTAAGTTAACTTAATATGGGAGTAAAGTCAGAATTCTGACTTTACTACCAATTTTGATTTTTTTCTCAGAATTCTGATTTTATTATCTCAGAATTCTGACTTTAATCTTGGAATTCTGACTTTTTTTTTAGATTTCTGACTTTATTCTCAGAATTTTGTTTTTCATCTCAGAATTCTGACTTTAATCTTGGAATTCTGACTTTTTCTCAGAATTCTGACTATAATCTTGGAATACTGATTTTTTTCTCAGAATTCTGACTTTAATTTTGGAATTCTGACTTTTCTCAGAATTCTGACTATAATCTTGGAATTCTGATTTTTTTTTTCTCAGAATTCTGACTTTAATCTCAGAATTCTGACTATAATCTTGGAATTCTGATTTTTTTTCTCAGAATTCTGACTTTAATCTCAGAATTCTGACTTTAATCTTGGAATTCTGACTTTTTCTCAGAATTCTGACTATAATCTTGGAATTCTGATTTTTTTTCTCAGAATTCTGACTTTTTCTCAGAATTCTGACTATAATCTTGGAATTCTGACTTTTTCTCAGAATTCTGACTTTAATCTTGGAATTCTGACTTTTTCTCAGAATTTTGACTATAATCTTGGAATTCTGATTTTTTTTTCCCCTCAGAATTCTGACTTTAATCTCAGAATTCTGACTATAATCTTGGAATTCTGACTTTAATCTCAGAATTCTGACTTTAATCTCAGAATTCTGACTATAATCTTGGAATTCTGATTTTTTTCTCAGAATTCTGACTTTAATTTTGGAATTCTGACTTTTCTCAGAATTCTGACTATAATCTTGGAATTCTGATTTTTTTTTTCTCAGAATTCTGACTTTAATCTCAGAATTCTGACTATAATCTTGGAATTCTGATTTTTTTTCTCAGAATTCTGACTTTAATCTCAGAATTCTGACTTTAATCTTGGAATTCTGACTTTTCTCAGAATTCTGACTATAATCTTGGAATTCTGATTTTTTTTTCTCAGAATTCTGACTTTAATCTCAGAATTCTGACTATAATCTTGGAATTCTGATTTTTTTTCTCAGAATTCTGACTATAATCTTGGAATTCTGACTTTTCTCAGAATTCTGACTATAATCTTGGAATTCTGATTATTTTTTCTCAGAATTCTGACTATAATCTTGGAATACTGATTTTTTTCTCAGAATTCTGACTTTAATCTTGGAATTCTGACTTTTCTCAGAATTCTGACTATAATCTTGAAATTCTGATTTTTTTTTCTCAGAATTCTGACTTTAATCTCAGAATTCTGACTATAATCTTGGAATTCTGATTTTTTTTTCTCAGAATTCTGACTTTAATCTCAGAATTCTGACTTTAATCTTGGAATTCTGACTTTTCTTAGAATTCTGACTATAATCTTGGAATTCTGATTTTTTTTTCTCAGAATTCTGACTTTAATCTCAGAATTCTGACTATAATCTTGGAATTCTGATTTTTTTCTCAGAATTCTGACTATAATCTTGGAATTCTGACTTTAATCTCAGAATTCTGACTATAATCTTGGAATTCTGACTTTTTCTCAGAATTCTGACTTTAATCTTGGAATTCTGACTTTTCTCATAATTCTGACTATAATCTTGGAATTCTGATTTTTTTTCTCAAAATTCTGACTTTAATCTCAGAATTCTGACTATAATCTTGGAATTCTGACTTTAATCTCAGAATTCTGACTTTAATCTTGGAATTCTGACTTTTTCTCAGAATTCTGACTATAATCTTGGAATTCTGACTCCATTATAGAAATAGAATCACCAGTGGCCCTCAGGGACGTAAAAAGTCGCCTAATTCCATCATTTCCCACCAATGTGTTACTGTTTCTCCCAAACAACTCACATCTTTCTTAGTGAAGCTGAGTGCTCCACATCTCTTCCTCTCCTGCCCTTTAAGATTAAGATCCAAAATTCTGAGATTAAAGTCAGAATTGTGACTTTTTTCCCATTTTTAACAAAATAATATTTCAAAATCAGTTAACTTTTTTTTTTCCCAGCGGCCCTCTTCCGTACCCATAACTCCCATAATCAGGACAAAAGTAGTGAAAAGTTGGCTGCATTCCATCTCAAAATGCAGGCAATAGTGTTTCAGAGAGTTTTCCCCAGGACCGCCCCTACCACTGCACAAAGATGTGAAACATTAAGGTGTAAACCCTATGAAATATAAAAGCCTGGTTGGATTTAACCCCAACTTAACCAAATAAGATGTTTTCTGTTTGGTGCGGTTTAAAACGAACTCACCTGCGTGGACGACTGACTGATTTGCTCGTTCGAGTCTTTTTCCTTCAGCACAGCAGCAACAAGGTTTCTAACCGCCTGAAAACAGAAGCAGGTTGAGGTGAAACGGTCCAAACAGGAGTGCAGGAGGTTACTCAGAACATCCAACTGACATTTTCCTGTTCCCTCAATGACAAATGTTTTATTAGCCCTGCAAATTTAAAAATACTGCACACACACAAATAAAGCCGGGCGTACACTGCACAGGTTTTTCCCCTTTAGGTCCGATTTTCCCATACGCCACTTGTCTGGAATTACTTTTGGTTTAAAAAAGAAGATGCTGCGAAATATCAGGTATTATGCAGGACAAACCTCCACAAGGCCTCGTATGATAGTTGCATGGCTACAATTCAAACTACCAGTTCATACACTCATTTATTTTTTTGTTCAATTGAGAGTTTTATTTACCAATAAACATTTCAACTGGTTGAAGAAGATATTTGTTTGCTAAAGTTTTCCTGCACTTTAGTATGTGTGAAGCAACTGACTTTATATCAGTTAATATTATTTTCGTATCTTATTTTATCTATTTATTTATAGGATGTTCAGTTTAAATCTGGAGTCCAGTTAAGCAATGGAGTCCATATGTTTATGTATCATGTTTCATGAAACATAAAAAGATATTAATAAGGTAAAAGCCTTTATTGTTGTAATCTGTGCTTTAAAGTCGTAGGGAAGCGGCCGTTCTAACTAGGGGTGTAAATAACAATCGTTTTGTATCGATGCATCGATCCAACAGCCGACGATCCGATGCATCGATACGTCGGCAAGAGAATCGATTCATGTTTTTTTTTCCTCCGGTCTATTTTTATCCATTTGCTCCTGGGCGTAATTCTCCTCCCGTGCTGCGGTGGCGCTAAACCTATTTTGCCCTCCTACCTCGCTTCCTGGTTATACTCTTACAGCAGTTTGTTGCAGTAAGCTTGACACAGACATTTTTGATTTATGCTCAATATTGAAGCGTGGTCTGAGCTACACGCTGTGGGTCTAGATACGGCCGAGGCGGCGAGGAAGTGGGGGCGAGTTTAGTCCGACGACGGAGGTACATGAGGGCCAAAAAGAGCGGAGATCCAGGTGGAAAAAGGGTCCCAGCGTTCTCGCGCACCTCGCTCTTCTAGTGGGTCAAACTTCACGAGTTATTTTCCACAATTTCGATCATTAAAAACAAAACAAGCCGGCCTCCTGTCTGCGGTCAGCTACAATCTGGGAGAGGAGCAGCGGAGCGTCTGTGGAGGGGGCGGGACGTCTGGAGCCAAGGTATTGCATTGCACTGATTTTCTGCAGTATTTTCTGATACAACTTTTCTACTTCTGTTATTTGCTGTTGTTTCTAAAAAAAAATGCATAACGATATTACAGCTTTCATTGATTTATTTCAAATTTGAAACTTTGTTTAGCCTGTAAGGTCCAAAAAAAATTTTTTTTTTTAATTATTCGATTAATCGAATCGAATCGTTGGGTCAGGAAATCGATATTGAATCGAATCGCCATGATGGATGTGATTTAGACCCCTAGTTCCAACCGTTGCTTTTCCGAATTCTCCCCAATGGTGCCCGACTTTACACGAATGAATAAAGTGAATGTGATTGGTGGATTATCAAGGGGGCGGAAAATTTGCAAGCAAGTTTAATGGTGGCCGGTTTGTCGGAAGCATCTTGCTAACCAGTTAGCAACTTAGTGCTAGCAGGTTCCCAATGGGAAATTCCATTGGGACCAAGTAGCACTAAATTGGTGACTTAGAAACAACGCTGTCAAGGAACGCTATGGACAGAGGAAACATGCAAGAGGAGGAGAGTTTAGTGTCGGAGGTCGTGGATGAGTCTCCTCCGTCATCCATTTTTTATTTAGAGGAGGAAAGCGGGGACGAAGATGTTGTGGAAGAGGACGCCAGGGCGGCAGAAGCTTGGTTTGGTGTAGAAGGCTTCCAGCCGTACATGTTTGAGCCCTTGCCTCGCAACGCTGCCAGTTCTGTTAGCTCTACGCCTGCCGAAGACACAGACGTCCATCCCCGTGAACACTGGGACGCAACTCAATGGGAAAGGAAAGGATTCTGGTTTCAACCGTTGCGTATATTAGCTGTGACATATGAATCAAGATGCTATGACCGAAAACATTTGATTGACAGATGACCGCTGATATATGATTGGACGAATTTAGGTGGCCTGCATAAGTTATCAATTTTTTAATAGAAATTTTCTACATTTTGAGACAATATCGTCTGATAAAGAGAACATTTAATTGTGCATTAATTAATTGTATTTGTTGTCTTTGCAGGAGGCCCACGTTTTGCAGCTGCTATATAATTCTGTATTTGCACCGTTTGCAATCAACCGCTGCACAAACACGTCAATCAGCTGCTGATTGGTAGAAATGTTTTTGTTTTTTTTTCCATGACAGATCTATGAATGTCAGGCTGCGGTCCATAAAACCTAATATCGTTTTATGCAACAAGGATTATTTTTAGATTTTTCTGAATGCTTGTAGGTTTTACTTTATTTCCTCTCTACAAAAACAATAGTTTAAGATTTAAGATTTCTGTACCATAAACCCAGAACATTAGCGTACTACATTAACTACCATGGTTGTATTTAGGGCCTATAGCTTTAGATCTGCTTTATAAATGAAGAGATAGATAGAAGAACCCAGTTTTTTTGTTTGTTTTTTTTAATCCAGGGAAAAAAATAAACCTTTTTATTACTTTGTACAAAACACAATTTACTGTAATAATGTTTGCTATTATTGATGCATCAGTTTACCGTAGTTCAAACAAACCTGTCTGGTTTTAGTCCAAATATACAGCTTGTATAAAGTTAATATAGCATCACCTCAGTCCTGTTTGCAGACGGCTTACCTGGGCCTGGATCACAGGGCTGCAGAAATCCAGCCGGGTCCTGAAACTCTCCGTCATGTCGGCTCCTCACGCCTGAAAGCAGAAACAATCGATGAACGTTGCAGAAAGGCTGGTTTAGCTTAATCCCTCGAAATCTAAGGTGTCAACATTTTCTGCCATTAGTGAAAAAAAAATGTCAATTTGAATTGTTTTTTGGGGAGAGAAACAAGAAAAGTAGTCAGAAAAAAATAGGAAACATTACATCTTATCTCGATTTCTGTGTCTTTTCAGTAAAAAGAAAATGACCTCATCCTGCTTTTTTAGTTCGGGGAGGTTCTGCCAAACCAATGTTTTATTTGCTGCGACAAAACGCCAAGACATATTCATTTTTGTATATATATCAATGAAACATGTTTGTTTTTTAAATGTTTTTTTTGTAATTCAGTATTTTTTAAGTTTCCAGGTTCCTGGTGTGTATCTGCATGCATCAGATAATGAACTCAAGCCTACATTACCGTGTTAACATGCTTTTCAATCCTTCCTGCACATTCTTTTCAAACTAAACTTTGCTTTAAACTGTTTTGTGCTTGGAAAAATATAAATTGTAATGTTAAAAATCTAACAAAAACGTACACTACTATTACTCACCAATTTAACATGTTTAGCTCTATAATGCTACGTTCACACCGGACGCAGCTGGCGCGACAGAAGCAGCGAGTTTACATGCAAAGTCAATGGTTGATGCGCGTCAAGGCGCAGCTGAAGCAGCGCGTCGGGCGCGTTTAAGCATCTGACGCGTGTGACGCGCCGCAAACGTGCTGCTGCTTGAGATTGAACAATTGAACTTTTGATGCTCGACGCGCCACGTCAACCAATCAGAGAAGCTGATCTGGGAGCTGGCAGGGAGTCAGACACGTCGCTGATGACACAGAGCGCTGTGATCGCTCCTCTGAAACAGTTTATTAACGCATAAATTAACTTTTATTATCGTGGTGCCTGCAGTTTGGATTAATTAGATGAAAAACACCATCCAGCCGTGACCGGGCCAGAGTCTGCTGTTGAATGGGATTCCTACAGACAGCGCACCACTGGTATGTGGGGGTCTGAGCGGCTCCGACAGAAATAATATTGTAAGGCAGGATGGTAATCTGGATAAACTGGCTGCATTGATTAAGTTTTCAGGTGGATTTTCTCACTTAAAAACATTTTAAAACTATTTTATTCCCACTGATCACAGCAAATACAGCTGCAAGGCAAAGAAAGGATAGAGTAGCTCTGCCCAACGCCCGTCAGACACACTTTTGCACCGCGCAGCTGGAGCAGCAAAGCCGCGCCTCAGAACTTACAGGTACAAGCAGCAAAAATGAAGCAGCAGACGCGATTTTGCTGCTCCTGCTGCGTCCGGTGTGAACGCAGCATAACATTTAAATGCACCTCTCCAATGTCTAAGAGAAAAAAATGTATAAATGTATTTTAAATTTTAATGTATGACCTGCATCACTGTACAGAAGACTGCCATATGATAGAAATATTTACACTGTGTGCATAAAATTATTATTATTTTCCTAATCCCTGACTGATCATTTTCATTGTATTATAGTATAGATTAAATTCATCATCCAGCTGCTCTGCAGAGTTCTCTCCCCAAGAGCTGAATCACGCCATCTAGAGGAAAATCACGCGGCTTTTTTTCAAATTACGCGAGAATGTGTACAAAACAACAAAAATGGCGCCGGCAACGCTTCTGGGTCGTTTTCATCGAATGTCGGTGATTTTAAAGTAATTTTGAGTGATACATTTTTTTTTGCGATCATTGCACTTGCCCGGCCGGTACTCTCCCGACAATAAAAACTACTTGCCCCGGGCGATCGGGCGATGGTTAACATCCAGCCCTGCATTGACATTGGTAATAATGTTTAGGTCTACAAAAAAATAATAATAATCAACACTTTAAAGATCACAGTTTCAATAAGTGGTGCTTTTGGACACCAGACTTCTGTAAAACAAGGGGCAGGAGGGATTTATTAAAGCCCCAAATATGGTAACTCCATAGACATAAACTGAAAATTCTATTTTCTTTCATTACATCAGGAAATGTTTTGTTTATTGATACAGATGGAAGAAGGATGGAGGACACTAAAGCACGGGTACCAAATAAGCTCAGCTTATCAATGGCACAAACAGAAAAAAGGCTGGTTTGACCCCCCCCCCCCCCCACACACACACACACACACACACACACATTTACTGCTGTCATTTCAGGGCCAAGCGACCAGCTGTCCACCACACCCTGCAGCCGCCACGCTGGATCCGGCTGGTTCTGGGGCTACGTTAACAGGTAGGTCACATACTTTACTCACTCTGAGTGTCACTCATTTCCTAAAGTTTTAGGAAAACCAGTAGAAATGCAACAGGTCATTGTTACTAAGGCCAAAGGAAAGCGTCTTCTTTTCCAAATCTGACTTCTGAAGGCTTTTATTCTAACGCATCGACTGAACCTTTGAAACGATGCGGGACCGATAACTTCCAGAGAATTCTGCTGCATTTTTTTCTGTCACTTTACAGTCAAATAACAAAGCAGCGGCTCGTACTGCAAGGTCTGCATTAGCATTGCAAGTGAGGACAATGACTGGGCCCAGTTGAACCAACAGGTGCTTTAGAAGCAGGCTTTACTGGGAATAACTGCAGAGGCTGGACAGAAACACGGGCTGCACTGGTGCTGAAACACGGGCTCTACCGGTGCTGAAACACGGCCTCTACCTGTGCTCAAACACGGGCTGTTCTGGTGCTCAAACACGGGCTGTTCTGGTGCTCAAACACGGGCTGTTCTGGTGCTAAAACACAGGCTCTACCGGTGCTGAAACACGGGCTCTACTGGTGCTGAAACACGGCCTCTACCTGTGCTCAAACACGGGCTGTTCTGGTGCTAAAACACAGGCTCTACTGGTGCTAAAACACAGGCTCTACCGGTGCTGAAACACGGGCTCTACTGGTGCTGAAACACGGCCTCTACCTGTGCTCAAACTAGGGCTGGGCGATATGGAAAAAAAACTAAATCACGATATGGATTATTTTATATCACGATAACGATATATATCACGATATACCACAACTGATGTTGCATTTTATGTTTTCATAGTCCGTCAGATGGACAGGGTTGAAAAAAATCTTTCATCGCCTATTTTTTACCCATCATCTTGTTTCCTAATATGAGAATCCCAACCCCAACCAAGAACACCAGTTATGCAATTTGCGGCCATGACAGTGAACAGTATAGAATCTTGGCTATTGCGCTGCAGTAATTAATCATTTAATATTTGTTTGTTATTGACATTTTATAAAATTCCAAGGCAAGGTTTTTCTCTTGTCTTTCACTTACCTTGTTTTCCACTAGGAGGGTCCAGTCCTTGATGAAATGGATGGTGAGACTCATATAAGGCTGTGTTGCTCTACTCATCCACATGTCCGTAGTCAACGCATAATGCGTCGCACTGCGTACCTCTCTCTCCACTTCAGCCCGACAACTAGCATATAAGCCAGGCAGCTCCACTTTACTGAAATGTTTTCGACTAGGCATCACATATCTGGGATCGAGTGTACGGACGAGGTCCCGAAAGCTGTCTTTCTCGACTATGTAAACGGGGGCCATGCCTTTACAGATATAGCGTGAAATAGCACCTGTGATCTGCTTGTGTCGCTGAGACGTCTTCTCATATTGTGATCCTTGGGCGAATGCTTCCTTAAGCTTCGGCTGTGAGAATTTCTTTCCAGTGCTTCCTGTATTTTCATCCCTTGTTTGTTTTGATCGGAGTGGTTGTAGTTTCCCGTGTTCTTGTTCATGATTTTTCTTCAGGTGGTAAAAGAGGCCGGAAGTATTTACATCAGCCGCTGGAACGGCTTTGCTGCACAGTTTACATATCGGTTGCGTTTGTTCTTTATCAGATGGCTGAAATCCGAAATATAACCAAACAACCGAGCTGCCTCCCCTTTTGGGCAAAAGTGGTGTTTGTTGTGTCTGTGACCTGGCAACTGTTTCGGACTCTGTAACCGCTGCTGTGGTAACATCTTCTTGGGTGTCCCATCATTCATTTTTTTTCAAGCCAGCAAGAAATTTCGCGGGCTCTCTCCGTCAGTAATGTCGCAAACGTATGGTGCAAAGCCGCGTGACGTAAAGCGGTGGTGTCGCAAAACCACGTTCTCTACACATTATCTTTTTATTCTCTTTTTTTTTCGTTATATACACTTAGAGTTTGCATAGCAAAAACGCAAAATGTTATATTAACAAATTATATTAAAATGTATATTAGCAGTAATAATAATAATAAAAAAGTTTATCACGATAGAAAAAATAGAGGAGAAAGGTCACGATAGACATGTTTCTCTCGTCCTCACGATATATATCGCCATATCGCCCAGCTCTAGCTCAAACACGGGCTGTTCTGGTGCTAAAACACGGGCTCTACCGGTGCTGAAACACGGGCTCTACCGGTGCTGAAACACGGGCTCTACCGGTGCTGAAACACGGGCTCTACCGGTGCTGAAACACGGGCTGTTCTGGTGCTGAAACACGGGCTTTTCTGGTGCTGAAACACGGGCTCTACCGGTGCTGAAACACGGGCTCTACCGGTGCTGAAACACGGGCTCTACCGGTGCTGAAACACGGGCTGTTCTGGTGCTGAAACACGGGCTCTACCGGTGCTGAAACACGGGCTCTACCGGTGCTGAAACACGGGCTCTACCGGTGCTGAAACACGGGCTGTTCTGGTGCTGAAACATGGGCTGTTCTGGTGCTGAAACACGGGCTCTACCGGTGCTGAAACACGGGCTGTTCTGGTGCTGAAACACGGGCTGTTCTGGTGCTGAAACACGGGCTGTTCTGGTGCTGAAACACGGGCTCTACCGGTGCTGAAACACGGGCTGTTCTGGTGCTGAAACACGGGCTGTTCTGGTGCTGAAACACGGGCTCTACTGGTGCTGAAACACGGGCTCTACCGGTGCTGAAACACGGGCTCTACCGGTGCTGAAACACGGGTTCTACTGGTGCTGAAACACGGGCAATACTGGTGCTGAAACATGGGCTCTACTGGTGCTGAAACACGGGTTCTACCGGTGCTGAAACACGGGCTCTACAGGTGCTGAAACACGGGCTCTACTGGTGCTGAAACACGGGCTCTACAGGTGCTGAAACACGGGTTCTACCGGTGCTGAAACACGGGCTCTACTGGTGCTGAAACACGGGCTCTACAGGTGCTGAAACACGGGCTCTACTGGTGCTGAAACACGGGCTCTACCGGTGCTGAAACACGGGCTCTACTGGTGCTGACCGAGTTCTTCAACTAAATATTTAATATGGTACCAAAACTACTACGGAACAACAGCAACAGAAAAGAGAACTTTTAACTTAATACTCTGAGGTCTGGGAGTTAAGAAGAGTCGCCGACCAATGGGCAGAAGGTGAGCGTCTAAGCCACGCCCCCTTCTCATTTGCATAATGAGGCAGAAAAGTAAAAACGACACGCATAAATAAATAGGATAAAAAAAAAAAATAAAAATAAAACAGAAAATATAAATACTTTAAAAAAGTAATTAATAAATAAAGTTTAAGATTATAACGACAAATATATAAGGTCATTATTACAAAGGCAAATAAATAAAGAAGTTAATTAAAAGAGATATATACATTTATGTCTCACTGTATAATTTAAATACATTTATTTGCTTATTGTATTTTTGGGGGCAATTAATTGTATACTTATTTATTTATTGAGCATTTATTTATTTCTGTATTTATTTTTAAATATGGCAGAGTTGGTACTCCATAAACTACACACACACAGATGAAAAGAAAATAAATCCCTCCACCGACCACTAGAGCCGCGCATCACAGACGGGCCCCCAACAATAACTCTCTATTAAGACATAAATGTATTTTTTATTCCATTTAACTTTAATTTTTTGTATTTTAATTTAATCAATTTTATTTATTTTTAATTATTTAATGAGACATTACATTATTTATTGTGCATTTCATAATTGTATTGGGCATCTAATATTTTAGCCATTTTTTGGAGACATATTTTTTAGACATTTAATTATTAATTTTACAATTTCAAATTCAATTCTAATTAGTTAATTTGACACTTACTCATATAATTGTGCATGTTGGATAATTATTTTATCATTAATAACCCTTTGGAATTAAAAAAGTGCTTTAATTTAATAGAATTATGGCATATCTAATAAATTAAATGAATAATTGCATTTTAATAACAATAATTATTACTTAAAATCGGACTCTATTTAAATTATATAATTGGACACATAAATATCTTACTATGCATGTTATAATTTAATGGTAAGTCTATTAATTCAACCATATATACATGAATTTATATCATATTTAATTATTAAGTTAGAAATCTTAAAATTATTGTCATTTCATGGAACATTTAATGATTTAATTTTTAATGTAAAATGTATTGTAAAGTTTTATTACATATTTATTATTTTACTTAAAATGTTTTTAGTTTCATGGAATATTTAATATGGTAATAGTGTATCAGATTAATAAATAAATGCATTTTTAATACACTTTAATATCTTATTTTTATTCTATATGAACTCATTTATAATGCTTATTTTAATGACATTGTTCATCTAATATTTATATTATTTAAAAAATTAATAAATGCATTTATGATAACAATTACTGTATATATTTATAAAATGCAAGTATCATTTAAATAGATTAGAAACATTTCTAAATAACATTTTAATTATTTAATGCACATGTATTAGTATATTAATAGTGTTATTGTGTATTTTATATTTTAATTGAATATTCTATTTTCAAATCCCACTTTTAGATAAATAAATAAATGTTACATCTACTTATTTAATGTTATATTTATTTATTTCATGGGACATTTCGAAATGATCATAAAAACCATGTCATGACCTTCAGCTTGGTGTCTTGTGACCCCTAGAGGGCCCCTGGCCCCCACTTTGAGAGCCCCTGCATTAGAGCCACTCAGAAAGAATCTCTATAATATGCAGCCTTCCTCTCGCCTCAAACATATTTTAGCTTTTAACCTGAATTGCGACTTTATTAAAGCTCAACAGCAAAGCGACAGTGGTTAATATTTATTTAAGGATGTCCATTATTTTTCCTGGGGTCCATTTCCAACTAAAACCATCACCATCTGTACACATACTAAAAAACACAATCAAAACAAACAAAACAAAAGTTAAAAGCAGCTGTTACACATTCTTTAAACCAATCTTTGGTTTTATGCATCGATCTTTAGGAATTAATAAGAGATCAGATTAATCTTAAAGGAAAGTTCGCTCATATTCAGAATTCAAACTTCTAAAAGTTCTTTAAATATGAAATTATTCCATCCTGTTCAATAAATGATCAGTGTTTTTAATTCAGAGTAATTTTCATGTGAATGTGCTTTACTGGAGGCATCCATGTTTGTCAAAGAACACTACTGCCACCTACTGGTTTGTGACGTCACGGTGCGGTATCGGCTGTTGATCAAGTCCCAGTGCTGTATCTGGTGTTTGTCACAACGCGCTATTATCCAGGTCATCTTGAAAACATTCTTCTTCCAAATGTTGGCTACATATTACGGGTTTTTTCTCTGGCCAGAAGTTCGATGGCAAATCCTCCCTCTTCAAGTTGGCGATCCAACGACTAACCCGTCCGTGGAGGATCAGGAATCAGAAAGGTGGAATAACTCTTTTTTTTCCACTTTTACCCGATGTATTCCAGCATCCAGCTGCCATGCACGTGGGCATTGTCAGTTTCACTATAGCTCTGGTGAATTTCAATGGTAAAGTCCTCTGGAAATCTTCAATAATTGTTGTTGATTGCAGATGTGTCTAGTAGTTCCCATTGATTTAGCTTGTAAAGCGGGGAGAATGGCGCTAGGCTTACCGCACCGTGACGCCACTGCTGGAAGATGGGCAAAAATGGCCGCTCCCAGACTCAGTGATCGCAACAAAAATTATTTATTTTTTCTTTTTGTACTGACTGATGCTAAATTCTTCTCCGAGTTGGGGAGGATGTACTGCCCCTAGTGGAGGAGTTTAAGTATCTTCGGATCTTGTTCACGAATGAGGGGAAAATGTAGCGGGAGATCGACAGGCGGATTGGTGCGGCGTCTGCTGTGAAGCGGGCGCTGTACAGGTCTGTTGTGGTGAAGAGAGAGCTGAGCCAAAAAGTAAACCTCTGGATTTACTGGTCGATCTACGTTCCTACCCTCATCTATGGTCATGAGCTTTGGGTCATGACCGAAAGAACGAGATCCCAGATACAAGCGGCTGAAATGAGTTTTCTCCGTAGTGTGTCTGGGCTCTCCCTTAGAGATAGGGTGAGGAGCTCGGTCATCCGGGGAGGACTCAGAGTAGAGCCGCTGCTCCTCCACATGGAGAGGAGCCAGTTGAGGTGGCTCGGGCATCTGGTTAGGATGCCTCCTGGGCGTCTCCCTGCTGAGGTGTTCCAGGCACGTCCCACCGGGAGGAGGCCCAGGGGGAGACCCAGGACACGCTGGAGGGAGGGACTAGGTTTCTCTGCTGGCCTGGGAGCGCCTTGGGATTCCCCAGGGGGAGCTGGACCAAGTGGCTGGGGAAAGGGACGTCTGGGCCTCCCTACTGAAGCTGCTATCCCTGCAACCCAACCCCGGATAAGACAAAGAAGATGGAACGCTAAATCCATTAAGTCACTGCAAACAAATACGTTTTAGGTATAAATAATGATCCGTTGATCCTTGCTGACCAAACTTTTCCTTTAAGAAAACTGTCATCCCACACAAACTGTAACACCTTCTCATTAGACCTCTATAAGCATATTATTGTGAAACCTGTTCATTTTCTTAGAAGAGAGAATGATCCAAACATGATAGAACCTCCTAACTGCATCCTGCTTGTTTGAAGCAGGTTTTCCAACTAGTTTGATAAAAAAAACAACCTAATAAAGAAAGAAGTCTGACCTTTCTTCCATTTGCTGATTATTGTCCGAAACAAATTTTCATTTTGTACAACTGCTTTTCATGACATTTCCCTTTCTTTCTGTGCAGCAGTGATCAAATGCAAACAGTGTGGGAGAAAAAAACATCTCTATTATAAGAAAAGGTGACATTAGTGAGCAGAGAAGGTCCTAGTCAAAGCCCAGACATTCATTCAGCAGGAAATCCCTGATTTTAAACAGAAATGTGGAGGCTGTCTCTGTCTGAGCTGAGATAATATTCAGTTTCCAGAAACTTCTTTCTGTATTTGGACAAAAACAAACAAACCCCAACAGAGACAAACCAGGACCTGAGGAGAAAGTGCTAAACTGTTTAAAACGCCTTTTTATTTTTTATCAGTTATTTTCTAATCTTCTGAAAGTGAAGTTTTATCTTTTATACTACATACAAAATTATGGGATTTTTTAAAGATTAATATTAAATGTGCCAGCTCCCTCTCCATCATGCTAATGAGCCAAGTTAGCAGGCTAGCTTATCAACCCAAGCTAACTGCTAACGGCTGCTGCTAACAGACGGCTGGGTCTAACTGCAGCCTGAGCCGCTGCACTGCGGCCACACATGTCGGTTAATAAACAAAACAGCAGACTTATTATCACTGCTGATAAACTCTTACCTTCCTCCAGCCGCTCTCTGCAAAACGCCGCCGTAAAATTCACATGGAAGTACGGCATCCTCCTAGGGACAAAACGAACGGAAACAGGCTGCTGACAGAAAGGCGTTGTTATTATTATTATTATTATCATTATCGGTAGTAGTAGTATTAATCTGTTATTATGGGAGATAATAATAAAAGCAGTATAACTAAGAAACAAAATCAAAGAATTCTGAGTGAATGTTGTTTATTTTAGAGAACTCCAATTATATTTATAATAGATCTGGCTGGTTGAACTGGCGATGAGGGAAGGATCTGTGTTGAAAATCATCCTTTTAGCTTTTAGTTTTAATGCAATATAACTAAATATTGGCTCGACATTGCAAACGAAGTCTTGAAACAGCAATACCCAGAGAAGTGAGTGTTATTGCTGCAGAGTTTTCCTTTAAAAGCGTCAAACTGGTTGGATTTTAAAAAAGGTTTTAAATTGAATTATTGGGAATATTGTATGAATTTAATTAATTTTTCATTTGTGGATTAAACAACACGAATGGTGCCCTTATAGAATTATCAAAACTCCTTTTTTCTTTCTTTCTTTCTTTCTTTCTTTCTTTCTTTCTTTCTTTCTTTCTTTCTTTCTTTCTTTCTTTCTTTCTTTCTTTCTTTCTTTCTTTCTGTTAGATAACACTTTTTTGTTTATTTGTCACGTGTGACAGTAATTTGGTCATAATATAAAACATGAAATGTGGGAATCGCATTGAAACTCCATAAAGCTCTTCATTCCGAGTTTCCCCCGGGGGCCTGAAGGCATCATAATTACAGCATGCGGTCGAGGAGGGATCACCGTCTCTGCTCTCCTCTGATTGGTGGCTTGCATCTCGTGCTCTCTCTGTGCTCCAAATGGGTACAGCCACGCTGCGCGTGCGCTTCATTTTCTCCAGCTGTCAGGCTCGCGGAATTCAGCTAGAAATATACAGGAAGGAGGAGAGCTTCACTCTGTGGAATAAAAGCCCAAATGACACATTCATGGTGTTTAAAGACCATAAAATGAGCGGTGGTCGGTCTGCAGTTTAATAAATGTTTAGTAATGCTTCACCTGACCGCTTAGTTTCAGACATATATTCTGGTTTAAAGGGCTTTTTTTTCTTAAAAAAAAGTGATTTTATTTTTTTTTTAAAGGGGATACCTCTTTAATTTGAACTTTTTCCCTCTTTTTCACCATGCTAAAACCATACAATTAAAGTAACCAATAAACCCGGGTTTAAAATTGGGGGAAAGATGGAAAAAAAAAACCTTTAAAAAAATTTTGCAAAAATTTAAAAGTGTTAATTTTCCCTTTTTAAAAAAAAATAAAATGATTAAAAACTAAATTAAAATTTTAAAAATTTAAATTAAAAATTTTAAAATAAATTTTATTAAAATTAAATTTTACCATTTTTTTTTTTGATTTTTTTTTTTTTCTTTTAAATTCCTTTTCCTTTTTTAAAAAGAAAATTTTAAAAATCCAATCCATATCTTTAAAGTAAAAGGAAAGGGTTAAAAGGGGGGGGGAAATAAAAAAAAAATCCATTTAAAATTAACATTTAAAACAAAATTTTAAAAAATTGCAAATAATTTTAAACAAAAAAAAATGTTCATTAAAAAATTTAAAATTTAAAAATTTGCAAATGAAAAATTTTAAAAGGGAATTCCCCTTTTTTTTTTTTTGATTTTTTTAATTGTTTTTTTTTTTTTTTTTTTTTTTTTATTTTTTTTTTGGGGGGTTTTTTTGGGGGGGTTGATGAAAAGTAATTGCTTGTTTTTGTTGGGGGATGGGTAAAAAGGTGATTTAAAAAAACTTTGTAAAATTTTTTGGTTGTTTTTTTTTCCCCTTTTTTTTAAAAGGTATTTTAATTTAAAATTTTAAAAAATTTTTTAAAAAACTTTTAAATAATTCCCTTTTTTTTTTTTTTCCCCTTTTTTTTTTTTGTTTTTTTTTTTGTTTTTTTTTTTTTTTTTTTTTTTTAAATTTTTTTTTGTAGTGGGGGTTCCCGGTTCCATTTTGTTTTTCCCTTAAGGTTAAAGTTGGGGAAAATGAAAAAATAAAATTTCCTTTTAAAAAAAATTTGTTTTTGGGTTGTTTTTTTTTTTTTTTTAAAAAAACAAAAAAAGTTTTAAAAAATTTTTTTATAAAATTTTTAAATTAAAATTTTAAAATAATTTTTTTTAATTTAAATTCAAAAAAATAAAATTTTTTTTTTTTTTTTTTTTTCTTTTTAAAATTTTAGTAAACCAAAAAAAACCCCAAAAAAATAAGGATAAATAAAAAAACCCAAATAAATTCAAATAAAGGTTAATTTTAAAATTAAAAAAATAAAAAAGATTTAAAAAAAATTTAAAATTTTTAAAATTTTAAAAAAAAATTTGAAATGTTTAAAAATTTTTTTGAAATTAAAAAAATTTTTTTTTTTTAATTTTTTTTTTTAAAAATTTAAAAAAATTTTCCCATTTTTCCATTTTTAAAACCCCCGATTTTCAAATCCTTTTTTTTTTAGTATACCCTTTCCATTTACCTTTTAAAATAGAATAGAAAATCCCTTTTATTGACACACAATGGAGAAATGGGCAAAAAGATTATAGCAAAATTCACAAAAATATGGACCATAGAAAAATGTATAACCACAACATAATAGTGAAGAGTTAAAAAATAAACAAATAAATTTTGTACTGTAAAATGTTTTAACAATAAAAAACTGTGCACCTGGAGTATAAATAACCAATATACAGCTATGTTATTTTTGTTTTTCTGTTTTTTTTTTTTTGTTTTTGTTTTTTTACAGTAATGGAGCAGAATCCTTTGGTGCTGATTTTGGCATCATAAAAGGGAATATATTTATGTATTTTGGACCAATAAAAAAACATAATTTCTATACATTTTTACTTTCTACAGTACATTTTATACTTTTATTCCACACCAGCCTAAATGTTCAGTTAACATATTAATAATTTTCTTTTTTTTTATTAAGGTAAAACCTTTAAGAAAAAGATGAAACCTCTAAATTCTTGCTTGGACTTGCAATGCATCATGGGATACGTTGGTCTATGAAGGATACACAGGACCTGTCCTTCAAAGTGGGTGAAAACAAGGCTGCATTTGTCGTCTGCATACGGAGGAATCTTTTAACCAGAACAGGCCGTCGTGCCCCCCGATAGTGTATTCTGGCCTTCGGTATGCTATCACAATGATCATTATTTAATAATAATACTGTTTAAAAAATTTTATTTCATCATCATTAAAACAATATATACTTTTTTAACCACCTTTCTTTGGTGCAAAATCCACTGTCCTGAAATAAATGATTATTCACATTAATTTGACATAAAATATATCAAATGCAGAATTAATTTAGTTTTCAGTACAAGTTTTTGTAAATTATGAGAGAGAAGGAAAAGCAATATTAAACGCAAAATTTTCATTAAATGTAATGTGATATATTAATGTTAATATTTGGTGAAAACAAAGAAAATTGTATATGTGAAAGCTTTTATTTCAAAAAATGTTTAAAACATTAAGGTTTATTTAATTATTTGATGGCTCAATTTTACATTTCTTACATTTAATTATTTAATAATACATTAAATACATGGTACACTTGAATATTTAATAGTCATTTAATGCTACATTTATTTATTTCCATTTTAAATTATTTCCTTTTGCCCCCCTTAGCCCTCTCTTTTAAGGTTATGAGATATGCTTTCAGAACAAACTTTAATTAAATTAAATGAAAAACATACATTTGAATATTTAAGTCAAACAATTAAATGTTTATGTAAATCATTTTATTAAAAAGATTATTACTATTTAATTTTTATAAGCTATGACATTTATACAACAGAATATCAAGGCCAGGCTAGAGATTTTTATTCTTCTATTTTGAGAATAAAGTCGTAAAATTATGAGAAAAAAGTCGTAATATTAAGAGAATAAAGTTGTAATATTACAAGAACCAAGTTGTATTTTATAACAACTCTTCCAAGAAGCCCTTTCTTCCTTAAAATGCGGAATGTGGAGCATCGTATGAAGTTATACTTTAGCATCGGTTTGACAAATCATGAAATCTTTTAGCAGCAGCATCAAACTGGGCAGGATGTCAAAGTGGACTCTGGTTGCTGATTGGTGGAGCTGGTCGATCGTCATCTGCTGGGCGGAGCTCCAAGCTTTCTTTCTAAAACAGGTTTTTGTATCAATGTATGGTGACTGTATTCTCATAATATTACAACATTATTCTCTTAATGTTATTACTTTATTCCCGTAATGTTACGACTTTATTGTCGTAATATTACATCTTTAATCTCGTAATATTACATCTTTATTCCCGTAATATTACGACTTTATTTTCGTATTATTATGACTTTATTCTCGTAATATTACATCTTTATTCCCGTAATGTTACGACTTTATTTTCGTCATTTTTTGACTTTTTTCTTGTAATATTATGACTTTATTCTGGTAATATTACATCTTTATTCCCGTAATGTTACGACTTTATTTTCGTAATGTTTTGACTTTATTCTTGTAATATTATGACTTTATTCTCGTAATATTACATCTTTATTCCCGTAATGTTACGATTTTATTCTCTTAATGTTACAACTTAACTTTCATAATGTTACGACTTTATTCTTTTAATATTACGACTTTATTCTCGAAAAAAAAAAAAAAAAAGAAACCTCTAGCCTGGCCCTCATACTCTGTCCTACATTATATTTATATTTAATTTTTGTTGGCACACTTGATATTTTTTATTTTACACTGACCAATGTAAAGGCATTTTATAATTATTTACATCATGTTTTATTTATTTGTTATCTTTATGTATATCTTATAGTTGTTTAATTGTGTTTTGTAAATGTACACATTTAATTTCGTCCTCGCCAACCTTCCATACATGCCTCGTTCCACCGCTGCCATGGCAACCAGAATTCCAGAAAAGAGCCGTCATTGATCTTATTGTGAAAGTCCGGACCGGAAACGGTTTCCCTGACTACGGGCGGGTGACCGCCGGCGAGCCTCTGAAAGTCTCCAGTTTGACTTGGGTCCAGGAGAGACCATGTCCGCCGTCACAGGCGAGCTGCGTTCACCTTTAGGCTCCTTTCTAAGTCCTTCTCCATGATCTAACAGGAAGCAGGGCCTGGAGGATGGCCGGAGCGGTGAGTAGCCCGCCGCTGCGCCCCTTTACTAACCAACATTTCCCCTTATTTATCTGTTTAGTCGCAGCGCAGCTTCGCTGGGTTTTGTTTTTCTTACATTTTTTTTTTACTCTGACGAGGATTTTCCAGCCGTCCGGTTAGCTGGTCCTTACCTGTCAGTTAACACTGCGACGCGTTAAATATTTCTAACTAAATGAAAGGTTTTTGCTTCTTTCTACAATGTTTGCTTTTAATTAATTGCATTAAAGGGACCAACCGGGGCACTCATTCTGGGTTCAACCCAGCTTCGCTTTATCACTCTAGTTTTGTCCTTTACCGGCTGCTGTACCGTAAGTGTATCTGGAAGTTAGGCTGGTAATTACAGGGTTAATTCTGAGCGTTAATTGGACTCCTTAGTCAAGTTGTGTCTGCTTGATGAGGCTGCATTTAATGTTCCACCTTAAGCTGCAGCTCTCAGGAGCGGATATAGGAAATGTGGGGCCCTGAGCAAAGACAGGCAGGGGGGCCTCTGAATAGAGAAATGTTAATAGAATAGACATCCATTATCTGTTCTAGGTTGTGTCCCTCTCTTCTTGTCCCTTTTCTTCTTGTTTTCCTCTCTATGTTTTGTACTCAGCTGACTTTTCATGCTGTCTCTAAAGGAATGAAAGATTTTTCCCAAGCACTAAGCTCACTTAGCTGATTGCTCCTTCCTGTGTTTCCAAAAAGGCCAAAGTAAATAACCCAGTCCTTCTTTTCACTGTAGACAAGCCATGATCTGCTTATCTGTTCTCCATTTTTCATTTGGATGAAATAATAGCTGCATGAATCATGACAGCAGACAAGATAGAGGAGAGCAGGAGGCGGGGTTACCAATCTACTCGCTCTGGAGAGCAGAGTTCGCTGCTTTTAGATGTTGTCTCCAAAGTCTCCAGTAGCAGAAAAAAGTCTCTAGATTTGGCGCTAGGAGCTTTTTTTTAGAGGGGTCTGAAAAGTGGCTAAATATAGCGACTAAAGCGCTAAGTTAGCATCACTGCTCTTTGCATCGTTTGTTTTATCGCTACCCGATCCGTCCTGCGCATGCGCAAACAGATATACATCCGGGTGTTCATAAATAATATAATTATGGTTCTAAAACTACTTATTTCTATCCTTAACTCACTAAAGAATACTAATATGCATCTGCAAAAAAAGGTTTTATGACTTTTATGAGGCAATTTTGATGCTTTTTACAATTTCTTCATTAAACTGCTTCTCTGACGTCATGATGGGACACGCTCAGAGCAGTCTGGCTAAATATGATTAAACCGTGTTTATCTGAATTTTAGTTGTTTCTTTCTTTAGGTTACGCACTGTATAGCATAATGTTAAAATGAAAGGAAAACATTAAACTCAAAAGACTAAATTTATGTTTAAATGCAAAGCTGAAAAAGTTAGCCACCGGAAGTAGCGTAGGATCTCATTTCCGTTTAAGGCATCTATTCTCTCAGGAAATACATTATATTTTCGTACGATTCCTATGTTTGGGGAGGGAAAAAAGTCACTTAGTTCTTTTTAACAAAATAAAAGCGAGGGCGACCCAGATGTATATCTGGATGCGCAAATGAGCTAATGGCGCATACGCAGGACGGGTCGCGCTTCCGGGACGGATCAGGAAAAGTGGCTAAATATAGCGACTAAAGCGCTAAGTTAGCAACACTGCTCTTTGCATGGTTTGTTTTCAAATGGTTTGCTGCTGTCTGTTTGGACCTTTCTGAACATGTGCAGCAAATGGACTGATCCAATATGGTGGACACTGAAGGGGGGGGCTGAGACACACTTCATATTATCAGCGTTCTGATGACATTTTAGCCAAAGGATTTTTATCAAAAACATAATTAATGTGCACAAATAAGGAATAGTTGTATTAACCAGACATGTAAGCAGAGTTTTATCCTTAGGCATTCTGCCTATTATAGCCTAATGGTAAATCCCCCCCTCTGTCTAAAGGAAGGATGTATTGCTTATTAACTGGGCTGCCTCTCTGTGCTGCAGGGTGCCGTTCAGGTGAAGCTGGAACTCGGACATCGCGCCCAGTTCAGAAAGAAACCCACGGCAGAAGGCTTCACCCACGACTGGATGGTGTTTGTCCGAGGGCCGGAGAACAGCAACATCCAGCACTTTGTGGAGAAAGTAGTTTTTCACCTGCATGAAAGCTTCCCAAAGCCAAAAAGAGGTACACCCCCCCCCCCTGCACCTTTCTGTTTGCCCTTTCTTTTCTTCTCTCTGTGCTGCTGGGGAGGAAGAGTAGGAAGAGGAGGAGGGACTGCGCTTGAAGTTTCTCTGCTGCTCAGGATCAAAGAGGGCCTGCAGTTCAATTCCCTCCATGCCATAAAGTTTAGCTTTGGCTGCTTTCACTAGATTATGTAAATGAATTCTTTGCTGTGGTGTGCTCTCATTGCAGCCTCTCTGCTGCGACGTATCGGAGAGGAAAAGCTCGTCCCCGGTAACTTTTCAGGCAGTTGGTCGAGGTGATTTTAGTCCAGCAATGAGCTGCAAACAATAGAGATGAATCAGGGCTTCTGATTTTTCTGTTTTTGGACGGATCGGGTCAAATCTAGACCGGTTTTAAAGGAAAATTTCGCTTATATTCAGAATTCAAACTTCTGAAAGTTCTTTAAATATGAATTTATTCCATCCTGTTCAATGAATGATCAGTGTTTTTAATTCAGAGTAATTTTCATGTGAATGTGCTTTACTGGAGGCATCCATGTTTGTCAAAGAACACTACTGCCACCTACTGGTTAGTGACGTCACGGTGCGGTATCGGCTGTTGATCAAGTCCCAGTGCTGTATCTGGTGTTTGTCACAACGCGCTATTATCCAAGTCATCTTGAAAACATTCTTCTTCCAAATGTTGGCTACATATTACGGGTTTTTTCTCTGGCCAGAAGTTCGATGGCAAATCCTCCCTCTTCAAGTTGGCGATCCAACGACCAACAAAGGTGTTACAAAAAAATGTAGCTGCTTTGTTTCTAGATGTTGGAGCTTGGCCTGTTTTCCAGTGTAGTCCTGTTTCTCTGACTGTGACTAACTGGATGTGCTCTCTTCATCCTCTGACATGGGAGCTGGCTCGGAGCTCGTCTGCCTGGCTGTGTGTTTCCTGGACGGGGCCGCCTGTGGAGCTGGTTGACAGTTGCCTTTTGTATCTATGCTTCTTTTTCTATGTCTGCTTCTGTCTCCTTGAACCCCAGTGGGCCTCAGCAGATGGCCGCTCACACTGAGCCTGGTTCTGCTGGAGGTTTCTTCCTGTTCAAAGGGAGTTTTCCTCTCCACTGTCGCTACAAGCATGCTTAGTGTGAGGGATTGCTGAAGAGTCAATGGGTCGATGCAATCAGCTGGTTTTTCTTTGATAGAAAACTTTGAATCGATCTGACTGGATGATCTGGTGAACTGGAAAGTGACCTGAGATGACATGATGTGAATTGGAGCTATAGAAATAAACTGAATAGAATTTAATTAACCAGAATATCTTGGAAGCCCAGCCTGGAATCTGATGCTTTGTTTAATCTGCAGTAGTCCTCCCTGTATCTTTATATTAGGGTGACCAAAGGAAGACACTTTGCCTAGCGATGGATTCAGACGGGCTTCTCAGAGGTTAATGAACATGCTTTGTTATAAGTAAATAGTAAAAAAATAACTTCTTTAGTAAAACCCAATCTGTAACAACCAACAACACGATAGCTCTATTTTAAAATCCATGAATAAAATGATATAACGATCTAAATATGGCCTCTTCTGTATTAGAAAATACAGCTTCAACAAATAACCTTTTTACAACGTCCTCCGACACTAAAACACTCAGCCTCCCACTCGACATGACCCAGGCAATACGTGCATATTTAAAAAAAATTTTTGCCGTTCACCTGTGATGCTGCACTTTTGTTTCGGCATTTTGTATCCAATGCTGGTTGCTCTGTTCCCCATGTGTTGGTGTGGGTGTGTTGGGTCTCGCTAGACCCTCCCAACCCTGGAGAATCGCATCAGGCAGCAAAGTACCAGAGTATTTTGTGCCGCAAGTCGATTTAAGCATATGACCATTATGATCCCATGAACCCTGAAAACTAGGGGTGTAAATCACATCCATCATGGCGATTTGATTCAGTATCGATTTCCTGACCCAACGATTCGATTATTTTCGATACTCAAGAATACACCACGATTCGATTCGATTAATCGGTTATTTATTATTTTATTTTTTTATTTTTATTTTTTTACACCTTACAGGCTAAACAAAGTTTCAAGTTTGAAATAAATCAATGAAAGCTGTAATATCATTATGCATTTTCTTTAGAAACAACAGCAAATAACAGAAGTAGAAAAGTTGCATCAAAAAATACTGCACAATATCAGTGTAATGAGTTCAATGCAATACCTCGGCTCCAGAGAAACTGTCCAACATATTTTTTTAGAATGTAATAAATATACTCAGGAAAGAGAGATGTTGCTTAGAGAGTTAGACAGGAATAAAAATAAACTACATATAAGGGAATTGTTTCAAAGGTCATCTGGGGATGTAGTTTTTGGTAGTATTTTTAATTTTCTAAGAAGAACGGGTATTTTAGGGAGAATATAATAGTTTGTCTGGTCCATACTCCATTCTGGAAGGTGGCGGTAATGCACCTATAAGTTGTTTGCCAACCGCCATTAAAAAAAAAGAAGAAGAAGAAGGCTCCAGTGTCGACGTCACCGCCCCCTTGAGAAACGCTCCGCTGCTCCTCTCCCAGATTGTAGCTGACCGCAAACAGTGCACCAGACAGGAGGCCGGCTTGTTTTGTTTTTATGACCGAAATTGCGGAAAACAACTCGTGAAGTTTGACCCGCTAGAAGAGCGAGGTGCGCGAGAACGCTGGGACCCTTTTTCCAGATGAATCTCCGCTCTTTTTGCCCCATTGTCCCTCCGTCGTCGGACTAAACTCGTCCCCACTTCCTCGCCGCCTCGGCCGTATCTAGACCCACAGCGTGTAGCTCAGACCACGCTTCAATACTGAGCATAATTTAAAAATGTCTGTGTGAAGCTTGCTGCAACAAACTGCTGTAAGAGTATAACCAGGAAGCGCGGTAGGAGGGCAAAATAGATTTAGCGCCACCGCAGCACGGGAGGAGAATTACGCCCAGGAGCAAATGGATAAAAATAGACCGGAGGAAAAAAAAAAACATGAATCGATGATTATCTTGCGGACGTGTCAATGCATCGGATCGTCGGCTTTTGGATCGATGCATCGATACAAAACGATTATTTTTAGGAATAATCGTTTACACATTACACATTTTTAGGAATTCATAATCCCCCTCCGGACGCCCTGGATAGAGCGTAAAAACTGGACATATCTGGGCAAAAGAGGATGTTTGGCCACCATACTTTATGTTTAATAGAGGAACAAGACAATCCAAAGCTGAACTTCAGAGGGAAAAGAACGGGAATAAAGTTTTGGGCTAAATCAGGGATGGTGACTTTATTTTCACAGGAGAAATAAAAACAGCCTTTAGATCAGACTTCTTCAGCCGCACACGTCTAATGTCGCCTGGGTCTGGTCAGGAACCAGTTTGGCTGGTTTGCTTCTGCACCGTCGGTCTGGAATTTCTAGGGACGCGCAGCAGTTTCCCGCCAAAGCACTAGGGGGAGCCGATTCCAGAACTCGTGAGAACTTCAGCGGTGCCGACGGGAGTGTTTATCTTCCAAAACAGCAATGGCGCAGCTGCAAGATGTCACGGTCACGGAGATCTAGAGTTGCTAGACATCGAAGAGGAAAAGGTTCTGTTAATGGAGTTGGCAAAAAGACCGATTAACCTTTCGTCGTAGTTGTTCCTCGGTATTTAAAATGGCGCGCTCCGGCACGGAATCGATAAGGGCGACAACACAGACAGCCGGAAAGGCATACCAAGGACCAATAACAGCTGTGCACTTCCGCTAGAGGTCTGCGCAGGTTTGCGACCGTCCCACGGCTAGTCAGGATTTTTTTTTTAGGTGCGCGACAACGGTTGCCGAACCTCTGCGCGGGGGGCGTGGTCAAGCACAGACAGATTTGACGGTTGCAGAGGCTATGCATCAGAAGCATGAATTGGCCTTTACCTTTAGGACTCAATACTTTTATTGGACTCCAGGTTTGGGACTGACATTAATTAACTTACATTTATAAATTAGACCCATTGTTTACACTTTTATTGACCATTGTTTTACCCCATAGGGTGCGTTTGATTTATTCAACAGGAAAATTATTGTGCTGGGAGACACAGCAAACCTTCCGGCAATGGTACGTATTGATGCACCATCCTGGAGGAGTTGGACTGCCTGTGCAACCTCTGTAGGGTCCAGGTAGCACCTCATGCTAACAGTAGTGACAGTGAGCCTAGCCAAATGCAGAACTGGTGAAAAAGAGTCAGAAAAGATGAGGAGGGGAAAAATGTCAGCAGCCTCCACCTGTTAAACCATTCCTGTTTTGATGGTCGTCTCGTTGTTGACCCTCTAGTGCACCTGTTGTTCATTTCATTAACACCAAAGCAGCTGAAACTGATTAACAACCCCCTCTGCTACTGACCCGACCAAATCAATATCCCACAAGCAGTGTTGGAGAGTAACGGATTACATGTAGCGACGTTACGTAATTTAATTACAAAAACAGAGTAACTGTAATTCGTTACAGTTACAATGAGAAAATATGTAATTCAGTTACGGTTACTTCCGAAAATATTAAGAATTACAAATTTAGTTACATTTTTTAAAAAATATAAAGAAAAACCTCTGCGAAATATATACAGTGAACCCTCGCTATAACGCGGTTCACTTTTCACGGTATCGCTGCTTCACGGATTTGCATCATGCATTGTTAAACTTTATTGTCAAACATCTTAATGGTGGCATGTCGATTATAAGGATCTTTTGGCCCAGAAGAAAAAAGAGCGACAACAACTACTGATAACTATGTTCTTCTCTCCAAAAAACACATCTGCACCGCAGGCTTTAGAAGAAAAAAACGCCACAGAGCAATCAGGATGCAGCGGCTCCGTCAGAACAGCAGTGAAATACTGTACTGTACATGTCAGTCACTATTGGTCCTACTGTACTTTGTATTTTTTTTCATAATCATTTTTCATTTTCTCCCGTTCCAATCCATCACGACGGGGCGGTGCTGATCCCCGCAATATTAACCCTTCAGTTCGTATTGATGATTAAAA